ACCAGGCAGCAGAGTGCCTGTTCTGCCAGTAGGACCTGATGCTCTGAGTGTGTGAAGATTTCATACTTGTCAAGTTCAGCAACTAGGGCAGGCAGCTACCAGCTCCCACAGCTGCAGGAAGCAACACAGCCCCTGCTCTTGGCAGCCCAGAGTGAGACACCCATCACCAGCAGCATTTCCCTTCACCCATTTTAGACACCCCTAAGTGCCTGATGTGGATGTTACTAGTTAACTACCAGCTGTGAAATGTCTTTTCATTAAGATATACAGCCAAAGATATATAACAGCCCTAGGACATATAACAAGGGAGATCTGCATTACAGATTTTGCAGCCAACTGTTTCCTCACCCAAATTATTAGAAATCCCACTGTCCATCCACAGTTTCCTTTGAGTCTGCTCCTGAAAACCTCTCACAAGGTGTTAATGAGAAAATGGGGTATGTGTCACTTTGGGAAAGTTTGGATTGAAGTAGAAAACAATGCATAGGTACCAGAAAAAGCTATTTTCAAAAGTCTCAATCCAGTATCATTTCTCCTACTTTTTTTTTTTTTAACTCTAATCCTGGAGGAGTTGAAATACTCTCCTTGCCTGAGTTAATGCTGCCAACATGATGCTGATGGAACCACTTACATAAATTTTCATGCTACATCAATATACCAAGATTTTCCACTAGCTGCAGTAAAACAGTAAGACTCATGTTTTTGGATCAAAAATCAATTTCACTTTGCACTTTTAGGTATGTTGGGGGGGGAGAAAGAAAGAAAAAAACAAACACAAAAATCGCCATGAAAATAAGCTGCATTTTTCATCTGAAGGAATGGCATGTTCTCTCTCCCTCCCTTCTCTCCACTGTCTGGATTGTTTTCTATTAATATTAACGTCTTTTCTGCCCAGCCGTTTCCTCCCACTGTAATCTCCCATGTAATCTCTTTGCAGGTGTGGAATCTTCATACCAGCTCCAAATTGCTTTTTTCTTGGCTGACCAAAAACACTTTCAGAGTGCAAAGCTTTCAACCTTTCAAAGACACCTATAAGCACGAAAGGGCATGGACTCCAAAGTGTTGACAGTAAGACCCCCACAGCCTCTGCCACCTCTCAGCAGCAGAATGCATTGTGCTATGAAAATGATGAACGATTTTCAGCAGGGTGATCATGTGTTATTTTGACAGCCAGGAGATGGGAGCTGTACCGGGTGTGTATATTCCTCCAGAGAGGCAACAAAACAAGGTGGTTCAGTCCTGCTTCCCAGGTCACATCCTACATCAGCAAGCTGTTGAAAGCAATTGCTGCCGGCAGCTGCTTTACTGTCCATCCCTCATCACTGCCTCCAAACTGTAAATCTCTCCCAAGGAGTATGCATCACCTGCTCTCTCGTCCTGGTTGCTCCCCCACTCTGTTAGGGGATGGCTGAGCTGTAAGTGGGGGTTCCTGAGAGCCCATGCTGCTGCCTCCACTTCTCCTTTGGCAGAGAGATCAAAACAGAAAGGCCCATAGGAGGAACGAACAGTCTCTCACATTAGATTCTGTTAAAAAAAGGAAACAAAAGCAGAAGGGGGATGAATTAGATTGGATACCAGGGACTGACACCAGCACCAGGAGAAAGCAGTCGTTTTACTTTACATTCAGAAACACAATTTTCTGTGGCATATAAATCAAAGAAATAAAACCTGCCGCAGGCAATAACTGTCATTTATTCCTGTAGCTGTACCTTGAAAAATCCCCAAAGTTTGTTCTGGGACCAGGCAGCCCCAGTGTGCTGTACAAAAGGACACTCAAGTGCTCCCTCCAAACAAGTGGCACACAAATCCCTGAGCCTATGAGGCACATGTCACAGCACAGCACACGTGTGAACCTACCAGATGTGTGTATGGCTATAGCTGAACTCCCAACTTGCTAGAGTGCTGGGTGGACTTGCATTTTCCAAGTCTGGGTTGTGCTTGCAACCCCTCTCACAAACTGAGCCCCCACTGGCAGACTGAAGGGTCAGCTGTGGCCCCACACCTTATCTAGCTTGCAACCCAAGTCGTAATCCTTGGTTGCAATTACAGCAACCAAGTTGCAATCCCCCAAATATATGGCAGCAAACACATGCCTGTTTTAATCACCCTTTCTAACTTTTAAGATACAGCTTAGTACAATTTCACTTAAAAATTGCAACTCCATTTTCAGAAAACTTAAAGAAATAAAACACTATAAATGGTTAGCAGTAATGCTGCTACAAAGTGAGGAAAACACAGTTGCCTACTGAAGATGTACACACTCACAGGGAAGGACAGTGGGAATGTTCAATTAATCAGCATCTGCTACATTAGGAAAATCCAACTAAGCCCAAGTTTCAACCTCTTTCTACAGTCAGGTTTATTCAGGAGACTGCAGGGCAGAAGCTTGTATTGTATGGAGTGAAATCAGCACACAGGCTGCAGTCAGCTCATCATCCACTGAGAGCTGGAGCAAGCAGTACATCTGCCCAGCTGACATAATTCATCATCATGAAGAACAAATTCACTCCCAAACACGCTGATGAGGAGCTGCATGTCCTGTGTAACCACAAGGCATTTACTGAGAATCACCCTAGTGTGTCTAAGTCCAACCTTCTCCCTCTCACAGCTCAAGAAACTGAGGCACAGTTAGCGAATTGTTCACTGAATCATAGAATTTAAGGGTTGGAATGGACCTTACAGATCATCTAGTCCCAACCCTCCCTGCCATGGGCAGAGACACCTCCTTATTAGACCAGATCGCTCAACGCCTCATCCAGCCTGGTCTTGAACACCGACAGGGTCAGGGCAGACACCACTTCCCTGGGCAGCCTGATCCAATGTCTCACCACCCTTACAGTAAAACACCTTTTTCTAATATCTAACCTAAATTTTCACTCCTTTGATTTGAACCTGTTACTCCTTGTCCTATCATTACAGTTCCTAACAAAGAGTCCCTCTGTGGCTCCCTTGTAGGCCCTTCAGATACTGAAAAGCTGCAATGAGGTCTTCACACAGTCTTCTCTTCTCCAGACTGAATAGCCACAACTCCCTCAGCCTGTCCTCAAAGGGGAGATGCTCCAGTCCTCTTATCAACTTTATGGCCTCCTCTGGACTTGCTACATTAGTTCTGGCACCAGAACTGCACACAGGAGACCAGATGGGGTCTCAAGAGAGCAGAGGGGAAAAATCACCTCTTTTGACCTGCTGGCCACACTCCTTCAGATGCAGCCCAGGATTCCATTGGCTTTCTGGGCTGCTTGTGCGCACTGCAGCTCATGGTGAGCTTCTCATCCACTGTCACTCTCAACTCTTTCTCCTCACTGCTGGTTTCAATGCCTTCCCCACCCAACCTGTAGGTGTGCCTGGGATTGCCACGGTCCAGATGTAGGGCCTTGCACTCCATGTTTTTGAATTTCATGAGGTTTGCATTGGCCCATCTCTCCAGCCTGTCAGAGTCCCTTTGGATGGCACATCCCTTCCCTCCAGCATGTCACTGTCCCACACAACTTGCTGTCGTCAGTGAACTTGCTCAGGGTGCACTCAATCCACTGTCCATTTCGCCGACAAAGATGTTTAAGAGTATTGGCCCCAGCACCAACCCCTGAGGGTCACCACTCGTCACTGGCCTCCACGTGTTCCAGAACAAGTCAGTGCCAGCTCAAGGAATAAAAGCTGATGAACAACTATAGTAACACTATTGTTCAATGTGTCCTTAATGTCAGTACAAAGAAAAGAAAAAAATAAAACCACAAAAACAACATACCCAGGTCAAAGTAATTTTATTAATAACTCACATGAGCAAATTACTACATTTTACTGAGAAAACTGCAAGCTGCAGAACTTGGGCAGCTGCATATTAAAATGCCGATTATGCAAATTTATCTTATGAACATTTTTAGACAAGAATGAAGCAGGGTTTATTTTCTTTAATTAAAACCAGAATCCTACATAGTTCATTAGTATGGATTCAGAGCAGAATGAATATTAATGTAGCCCACCTCTCCCAATTCTACCTGCCAGAAATATCAAGGGAAAAAAAGGTTAGAAAATGGATTCCTGAGCAACTGTAAATGCAACTAGCTAATGTTGTTGCAAGGCTGCTGGCATCTTTGAAAGGCCAGAGAGATCAGGAAAACCTTTTTGAGTAGGAAAAGGCAAATTATACTGCCACCCTCAAAAAGTCAAGAAAGAAGATTTGGGGAGCTACAGGTTGATCAGCCTTGATTCAGTCCCCAGGAATGTTAGGGAACAAGCCATTCTGGAAGCTGTTCCAGGCACAAGGAATACCATGTGATGGGGAGCAACCAGTCAATGCCAATTCACCTCAGGCACATTCTGCCTGACGCCCCTGCCTGCCACCCACGAGGTAATGACTGGCTCTGTGGCAGAGGAGAAACAGCAGGTGCCATTCACCCTGACCTCAGCAAGGCTTTCACTAGTGTGTCCCACAGCAACCTTGTAGCCAGACTGAGGATATGAACTACAAGGTGGGTGAAAAACTTCTGGACCATCAGTCTCAAAACAGTCAGTGGTTCAAGCCTAACTGTCCGGTGGTTACAAGTGACATTCCTCAGTAGTCACAGCTACTGGCAAAATGTGTTGAGCATCTTACTTAACAGAAGAGATCCCAGTCAAAGGCACTTGTTTGTCCAGCCTGAAGAAGGGAAGGCTGAAAGGAGACCTAACTACAGTTTTCCACTAGAGCAGGGACTGCAGAGAAGACAGAGCCAAACTCTTCTCAGGCATGCAGTGAAAGGGCAAGGGAGAACAACTGCAAGCTGCAGTCAGGGAGTTGGCCACAAAGAACAAATGCCTGGCCATGGGAGCAGCTAAGTGCTGGACCAGGCACCCAGACAGGCTGTGGAACTTTCATCACCAGAGGTTTCCAAACCTCGGGGTCCTGAGCAATTTGGTCTAGCTTTAAAGTTGGCATAGTACTTCACAGGGTTTGACCAAATGATTTCCAAATGACCTTTCAATCCAAATTTTTCTATGATTTTGTGATTCCAATTGCATATGTAAATAGAAGTTTAATCAGTGAAAAGCCACCAGGCACATTTATTCTGACGAGCTGTTCCACCTGTCAGGTCTTAGACACCATTACTGTGCTTCATCAGCCAAAAACTTCATATACTGTTTCCGAGCAGGAAAATCATCAGCCGGCCTGTTGTATGCTGTCCAGACAGGTTCTCCAACGAACAGCCTCATTGCCTTCACGTAATTCTGTCAAAGAACAAGAAGTGACAAGTAATTTAAGAGCTGCTTTCCAAGGGATCTTCATTCCAAAGTTAAGGTTTCATTTGCACTTCTGCAGAAATTTTTGAAACCATTTCATTATGGACTGAAAGCTTCACATGTTCCAGAAAATTATACCACTACACTGCTGTTCCTGCTCCCAGCTACTGCAGAGAGACCAATCCAGTGACATACTGTGGCATGACCAGTGCTTCCAGTTCAGGCAGAGACAGTACTTCTCCCTGCTTCAAAGAAATCAAAAAACTCCTGTCTTACACAAACCTTTTGCACTGGATCCACAATACTAAGCAATGCAGCATCTAAGTCCTACTTGCTCAGTTAAACAGCAGCAATCAGAATACTCAAGATGGCTACACAATACTATTGAGGAACAGCAGAAGTTTCAGAGTGAGAACCATAAAAACTGAATGGAAAGCACACAAATTAGCCAAAAAATACTGCTTGCAGGAAGTGAAAAGTCTCCAGATTCCGACAGGAAAAGCAACATCCTCCACCACCAGCTAACCAAAAGTATGCCAGGTGTGAGGTACAGTTGTGGCAGCAGAAAAGGGGATTTTACATCCTGCAGAAGTGCTCCAACCATGGAGTTACAGGGAACTCTCCTGTCCACTATGCTACAGATTTCGATCCTGCCTATTTTGTAAAATACTGATAAGTGCTTATCTTATACCCAGGTGTGCAGAAATGGCAAGAATTATAGTAAGGAACTGAAAGAACTTAGCTGCAAAATGTAAGTGTGTAGAAGCACCTAAAGAACTTACTTTGAAGATGGCACTTCTGCACTAAAGCTCCTGAAGTGAACAAACATTTAAGACTCCTTGTGGATTCAACCATAACCCCTGACATTCTGTCTATGTAAAGAAAAAGTCTTAAAACAGTAAATGTAGCTGATTCACTGTGGATCTCAAGATGCAGATGGGAAAAGTCAGTTTTTTCACCAAAGCAGCATCCCTATTTTACTTATAACTGCTATCTGGACAGCTGATTCAAAATGATACCATCCTCAAGGCTTCACCAGAGATGGGATTTTGCCACACAGGAGACAGCACACGTTTCCCCATTTTGAAGGGGTAATGCTGTTACAAACACATTTATAAAAGCCCACAAGAACAGAAACACAGATCAGGGCTAGATGTGCCAATCTCATGCTCTCATTGCCAAAAACACCTTCCCAAAGCAGGTCCCCTCCTGTGAAGCCAGCAGCCAGTCTAGCACACAGCAGCCACAAGTAGTGGCTCTGGGGCATTAAATCCTTCTTTCCCTGAAGGTGAATTTAACACTCAAGAAAAATGCCACTGCTGGATGCAGATATGCTCTTCTATCCCCACAAAAATACACAACAAGGCAACACAGAAGGATCCATCTCCACCACCTCCACCTCAACCAACAGCCAGGGGCAATCGTGGGAGGGACAGCCGCAGGGCTTGGCCACTGTCACACAAGACAGGTTACAGATATCACGTGGCAGTGACTTGCAGTTACAGCTGACAAGAAGCAGCTAGATTTGTGACCTAGAGATGAAAGGTTCAGATGCTGTGAATTATTTAGTATTTTTCATACTCCTACTTCATATTTAATATGTTTTGCTAATGAACTGCAAGTCTCAGGGCATGTAGTTACTAATGTGATATATGCTCACATGGATTTGTCACCAAAATTTACAGTAATCTATAACAACATACATTCTCATCCAGTGTAAATCGGTGATAAATGCCAGCAGGGAGGGTTATCATGTCTCCTTTTTCCATGGAAATCCGGATCCATTTGTCATCCTTGTCTCGAACATCAAAATAGCCAGATCCATCTAAGATGTAGCGAATTTCATCGTCTAGGTGTAAGTGTTCTTCATAAAATGTTTTTATCTAGGAATAGAAAATACTTCTTAAAACTAATGAACACAGGAAAATGGCAAAGAAATCTGGTAAAAACACGAGGCAAAGCAGAGAAAAGCTTTTAAAGGGTAACTGTGATTTAACTAACAGAGGAGACCACCATGGTTAAAATGGCCAAGTCAGCCAGACAGACCCCATCTCAGGACACTTCTAAGAAGGCTGCTACATTTCCTTGGGAAGGCAGGAATTTCTCTGACAAGAAGCAGCAGCTCTAGATATACATAATCATTCTCTGAATAACAGTAATGCTTACGCCTGTTTGAGAGAGAGACAAGTAAAGCTTCCCACTGTAAGATTTGGTCATTGCAGTTGTTCAGCTTGATCATTTTGTGCCTTTTTTCCCTCCAACGTCCAAAACCAAAACAGAGCTACAGATTATCCCCCTCTTTTACACTGGTGTAGGGCTGAATTAGCTGCACAAATTACCACAGCTTTATATGAAAATGCAGGTAGTGCCAAACATGGCCCAACCACTGCAGCCTGATGGAAACAGCTTGCCACACCTGCTCACATGCAGTGAACCCCAGCTCCAGGCTCTCTCCTCCCAGGCAGCAAAAATATTCTCATTTTTTCTGGAATGGTGGATTCTTTGTACATGCACAGAACATAAAACATGCTTTAAAGGTTAACAGATGCCTGAGTGGGTTAGTGCACAGAAAGCAGTGCACTACCAGATACCATCATCACCTGCTCAGGTCTAATGACATTTAGCCGCACTCATGCAGGTGCCCTTGAGCCAGGACAGATCCAGCACGGCAGGAGGAACAAAAGTCCCTACGTCCTGTAAATAACATCCTGTCTTTGTGTCAGGCAGAGCCAGCTCAGACAATCTGAGTTACTACCTAGTTCACCTTCTCATCAATTTAAAACCACAGTACCCAACGGCCTTAAAACAAACTGGTAAAGGGAAATTTAATAAAAATATGGAAGTGTCACTGGGTTGCTGTCCTCAGGTCAGAGCAGCAAGCCAGCACTTGGAGCCAGGCGAGAAAGCTCCTTCTGGGAGGCTCACCCAGGAGCCTGGCTCCGTCTGCACTAAGCTGTTATGAAATAGTCAAGGTACCAGCTCCGCCAGCTAAAAAATCTTCTTGTACAGGGAACGTACCCCTCCAATTCCACGGGGTTAACATTCCCTTTAAAAAGACATATCCTGCAAGCAGCCATGAGGATTTTCAGCCTTCAAAGCCCATGCCCAGCTGGCAACCACCTGCCTTCATCCCAGAGAGGTTCTCTGAGGACAGGTCAGCACTGGCAGGGCTCTGCTGGTAGGAATCTGTTTTGAAACGACACAGTTTCCAAACTTATCCTTGAAACCTTTGAAGGCAATCTACAGAGAAAAAGGCCTCTGCTATCTTTGACATAACATCAAAAGCGTTTTTGTGGCGGTAAGGACGGCGGTGCAGGCTGTGCCCCGGCCGGGCGGTGTGCCGCTGTGCCTAGCGGGCTCCCCGCCGGGGGCAAGCGACTGCCGTACCTTCTCCTCGTAATTCGGGAGCTTGTCTTTGTGTATGGTTATTATATCCATCCACGAGTAATTTTCCGCGCTGCGGATCTCTTTCAGGCGCGGGTCCGTCTCGTAGTTATCGGCGTCCAACTGAAAAACAGGCAGGAGGGAACACCCTTCGGGCGCTGTCGCTGTCGGCC